AGCCTGGAGCCCAATCAAGGTGGCCTGGAGCCCAATCAAGGTGAACTGCAGCTGGATGAAGAGTTGACCATCAAACTCAGTCAAACCCAAGTTGGCCTGGAGATCTGTGAACTTGACGCTCAATAGCATTGCTCTTGAGATTTGGAGTGGTATCTAATGGTTTGTATGTGGGATTGACTGACTGCTACTAACTCCAAATTACATTTTTTGCATAGTAAGAAGCAATGACACTCTGAATTTGGCAACAAGCACTAAAGGGACACGTGAATCACAAGCATGATATCAGCATGGCATGTAGCTCATCCAGCTTCCCAAAAGGGAAGACCTCGGGAAGAAGCCACTTCTGGCTTAGGCTCTGCTTTTGCAGGTGGCACACATGCAGGTGTGGGGCTGGGCTGCTTGCCCTAGGAAGTGCCTGATATTCTGCCAAGTTCTGGTCCTGAACACTGGTTAAGTTATTTAGGTCTATGGGAGGAGCACACTTTGTACAAGGATACAACTAGAACAGCAGAAAGACAACTCCACTGGAAGACTGAACTAGAATGTTACTTTACCTTATAACAAGAAAGACTGGAGGGGAAAGTATGCCAGCCTTCAGGACAGGGGCCGTCAGGCTTGGGGGCTGCTTCTTCAGGTTCCAGGCCTCTGCTCATTTTCTTGCAGATTGAAAGTGCTCTGAATGTTCTACAGTCCTTTACTTCCCACCTGCCGAGAGCCCGTCCAGTAGACATAGCCACACACCCACCTGAAGACGCTAGGATTGAATTGGAAAATTCCATTAGAAATTAAAACTTCAAAATGAAGTGTCCACATTTTTTAGTGTATAATTCTTCTCTTTATTTGAACCACAGTCAAGAGAGAGAATATCAAAAACAACAGAGGAAAGAGAAAAAAGAAATATGTTGTTCAGAATAATGATGATGATGATAAGTATCAGAAAAGTGTTTATACATGTCAGATACTTTCTAAAGGGATTAAGTTAATCCTTTGAACAGCCTGTAGAGGGTATTCTGCTGACAGAACTGAGATACAGTGAAAGATAAGTGACTTGTCCAAGTCACACTGTTAGTAAGCAGTTGACCTAGGGTTTGAAGTAGTCTTCTTCAAGGACAGTAAACCCCAAATCCCCATGCTGTTCAAGATGGTGGTACAGATTAATGTAATAACATTGAGTGGTTTTTTAAGCAATCTAGGAAACTTCAAAACTCTCCTAGATTCAAGTCCAAAGGAAGGGCTGGTATAATAAAGGTTGAGAGAAATATGTGGAAATGTACATTTATTTACTATGTATTTTATGGTATATTTTTATTTGCTTACAACAGTATGAAAAGGTAGTTTATACTATCAGAGCCCTTAAATGAAGACTAAGTGACTTGCGCGTACTCACATCTAGTGAGAGGGAGAGTTAAGATTTGAACCCAGATTTCTCAGGTAAAAACCCCTATTTCCATATATCACACTGCCTAAAGGGGCAGAATACAGGAAGAGTCACAGTCTGGAAAGTAATGAGGACAGTTCCTACCCCACTAAATAGAGAAGTGGTAGGGTCTTCCATCTTACATTTATATGGGGGAAAATGAAGAACAAAGAAATGAGAAAAACAGTGCCATGCCACCCTGGATAGGTATGCTGATTCCTTCCACTCCGTTCCCCTTTCCATGGCTTGCTCAGGGGAGCCAAACTGGCTGAAACTGGGAATTATAATTATAACTCAGAGTTCAGTGGTAGTCTTTTTGACTACAAAACTGAGGGAATATTTATGCTAGCCTCTTCCTGAGCACCTCTCCAAGCAAGTGGTTTATCCACCAGAAATGTAATATTAGCTCTAAAGTGATTGATTAAATCCAAACTATAGATTTAAGAAAACATAGACATAGAGAATTTGTTTTATTTGTTGCAATCTTTCTAATTTAAGTGAGATTTAATCAAGATTAGCATTGGTAGCTCTATCTTTTATAACTAAAGAAATGATTTTGTTTTTATTAACATCAGTCATGTTGATGAACATGACTCTGTGCACAAATCGGGTCAGCATTATCTATTTCAAATACTAGATTCGGGCTGGGGAGATGGTTCAGTGGAATAAGTGCTTCCCTGGCAAGCGCAAGGGCCTGAGTTCAATCCCCGGTTCTGCAAAAAACAAACAATAAACCCAACAAATCAAATACTAGATTCAATTATAAGATTAAGGTTCCCGTTTCCATCTTATAAAAAATGGTCAGCATGGTCACATTAGGCTAACATATAGAAATGTAATTTGAAAAGAGCAAAGCTTAATGCTGTAAAATTTCTGCCTTATTTAAAGCCAAAGTCCTCTAACATTTATTGGCTTGGAAATTAGGAGAGCTGAATTTTACTAACTGAATACCCAGATGAACTCTATCAGATAAACATCTTTCTAAGTCTCTATTTTCTCAACTCTAAAATCACAAAGGAAACAGTTTCAAGACAGGTTAGTATGACAGTTACAATAATTAATACATTGCATATTGTTGTCTTCCTAGTAGTATTCAGAGGACAAGATGGAGACGTGATATCTTGTCTAAACAATATTAGTACGAACCTTTCCTCTCAATGAACTAAGAGAAAATAGCTGTATATCTATCCTAACTATCTTGTATATACATATATATTTTTTACACACACACACACACACATACACAAACACAGACAAAAAAAGGTCCTTTATTTATATCCTCCTTTTTTCTTTTGTTTTGTCAGAGATAGGTGTTCCATTGTTGTTAGAGAAGCTGTATTTGGAGAAGTCTTTAAAGGACTTTTTCAGACTGGATGCCAAACCAAAGAGTGTAGGTACTTGAATTCAGCAAAATAACCCAGTATAGCCCATAATAGTAGTGGGCTGTCAGCAGAACTGACAATTGTCTGAAGTTGTTGATGTGAGCCTTTTACAGCTCAGCATATCATTGCTTTACTTTTACTCCTCGTAGTTACACTTTTCTGCTGGATGCTTAGGACCAAGTTAAAGCAAGACCTATGTAACTCAAAATGTAACTTCTGCTATCTGACAAGGTCAGTCAAATCCCCTCAGGGTTTACCCTGGAACCATGTACAGCACCTTGTGGGCTTTTGTCAGTGTCAGCATCTGGATGAGTCATGGCCATTGCTTGACCATTTTGCTCTCTGTGAAAGCCTGAGAGAATTATTTTCTCTAGCTGACTCTCCTTAGGCACACTATACATCATCAATCTTCTTTCTTTTCTTTCTTTCTTTCTTTCTTTCTTTCTTTCTTTCTTTCTTT